AACTTTGGGCGAACATCCGCCCCGGAGGGAAAACACGAACATACATACATACATGCATGCATGCATGCATGCACGCATACATACCTACATACCTACATACCTACATACCTACATACCTACATACCTACATACCTACATACCTACATACCTACCTACCTGCATGCATGCATGCATGCATACATACATAAATACATACATACATACATACATAAATACATACATACATACATACATACATACATACATACATACATACATACACACACACACATACACACACACACATATATATATATATGCATATATTATATTATATGGATATATTTGCAATGAGTTGATAGCTGTGATGGTGACAGTGCACCTAGCATCCAGGACTGCTGGCCTCGTGCTGTTCAAGCACACCATCCGACTGCACAAGCGGTTTGGCACCGACACCGCCTTCCAAGCAGGGAATATCAAGGATGCGATTGAACGAGGTCGAAACTATTTTGGAAAAGGCACCAGTGCTGATGACGACAAAGCTTTGCAAGGCATGTCACGAACTGCTTTGAATCAAGTTCAGAACTCATCTCAGAAGGAGCGCATGTCAAAGCATAAGGCCAGAGAATCTAAGCCTCCCAGTGTGTCGGATTTTGAAGCTGTATCAGAAGAGCTCTACTTGGCTTCTGCTCGCTACACCACCAAAGGGGTGAAAATCACAGAGAGCTTTGAGGGACATGAAGCTGTGGACCGAGCACGGGCAGCTTTGAAGAAGGACCTCAACGTGTTGCAGGAGGATGAAAGCAGCACTGCAAATGACACGGAGAACTCGCAAGCATTGGGAAACCATGAGCTCTTTGAGCTTGGAAGTCCCAGTGGTGCTTTGGTCGGCTTCAGCGTCAGGGGCCAACTCTCAAATGCCGTGATGCAATTGAGTCTTCGTTTGCCTTATGGAAGCTGTCGTAGTCTTATTTTTTGTATGACTCTGTCACATCCTTAGGCCGCTTGGATATTGAACCAAACATATCCAAGAACGGAGACCCTTAGCTGCCAACCGCTCCTAACGTACCCCATTCGCACCCAATTGCATCTGCCTCTTGAGGAGAGTGAACATGAAGTTTGGTCCTCTAGATTCCCCCACGAAGACCATTGACCTGTTGAATTTGGTGGATCATCTTCGGGTGGTCTTGGCTGCCATTCCCTTCGTCTCGCAGGCGGGAACGGAGACCTGCATCGTCTTGGGAATCAAGAATGAACCGGGTTCGTCCTGGCAGGATTTTTTTTCCTGACCCTGTGTCCGAAAAAATTATCCCTCTAGGAAACTTATTCAGCCCCAACTTTGGTATTCTCAAAGTCCAGGGGGGTTGTCCCATGGAGAAATATTCAGCAACCAAAGAAAAGTGTGGAGTTTCTCGGAGCGGAGTTTGTTGGAGACTTGCAAAGGGATAAACAGGACCTTGGCCACTGGAACTTTATCTGGAGATGTTTGCCTGTATGGTCCCAAAATTGATTCTGGATATTTTTTGTGTACCATGTACGCCTGGGGGGTGTGCCCTTTTTTGGGAATGCAAATTTATTCCGAAAAAAACTTGGCCCCAAGAAATTTATCCGGGATAAATTTGGGTACAACCCCCCGTAGGCACCACACACAGGGATAAAGATGTTGCGCTGTATGGCTGCGTGACAAAGATGCCACGCAATCCCACTCATATCTTATCAGTCTTATTAAGTCCTATCATATCTATTAATATCTTTCTAAATATATTTATACCGTCATCCAATCTTACAATATCTTCCAATCTTCCAACATTTTCGCGGGAAAATATGCCCTCCCTTTCTCAACTGGCTCTGTGTGAGGCCTCGAAGCAAAAAGCCGTTGATTCCATGACCAGCACCAATATTGAGACTCAGATCCCTGCCACCGACGTCAAAGCCAACTTGCCCTTGGAGAACGGCTGGCTAGCGTATGGCAATGCCTTTGGCTCACCCTTCTACCGCTTGAAGGATGGAATTTGTTCGCTCCAGGGCCTCATCTCCGGTGGAACCTGGGGTCGCTTGGGCACCCTGCCTGCGGATGCTTTGATGAAATATGATGAAACTGCATGTGCCGGCAGGTGAAACACGGTGAAACCGGCAAAACCGGCGAAACCCTGCTTTTTACTTTTCCTTTCTTAGATCCCCCGAAAGATCTGGAAAGAATTTTCAAGGTCCACAGGGTGCTTCAGTCATGCATCAGGTCATTCGCATCACCATCGATCCATTGCATTCCATTGCGATCTGAGCTATTCCAAGATGTTTGCATCGAAACTGAGGAGTGTCGACCTGGCAAAAAAATGATCTTCAGTGCTCTTGTGCATGGTGCCAGTGCCCGGCTTGACGTGACGGCGGAAGGGAGAGTCAATTGGGCTGGGGGCAGCAGCAGCAGCTGGATCACTTTGAGCAATACACTCTTTGTTCCAGGCAAATTCCGGGAGATCGGATGTCAAAAAGGTCTCCAGATTTTATTACTGATAGAAAGGATCTGTTAGTTTGTTTTTGATGTCATCTCTTGAGAGAGCTGCGTTTTATGCAGCTCTTTGGCCCCAGAGTGGTGTGTCATGGGCGGGTCAGATCTAGGGAAGGGAAACTTGAGCGTTGAAAATTGCAAATCGTTCTTATGACATCAAGAACTCAATGCTCCTTTTCACACCTTGCTGGCTCGATCTCTTGTGAGACAGCTGCGTTTTATGCAGCTCTTTGGCCAAACTCCCAGTCAACCATCATCACCACAGTCTGGGCCACGTGTTCTCTGGGATACAACCATTCTTGAAGTAGATGGCTTTCTCGAGGATAGCAGGAAATCTTTTGCAAAGGAGGGCAATGCGGCTCACCGACTCTTCGGTCATCTTGTGCACAAACGTTGCTACTGTGGCCTCCTGCAAATAAATCTCGAGTACCTTGGCTGAAACCCATCTACCTTTTCGACGCACAAACTCCTGCGTCCTCTGTCACCTGCAGCCAATGGGTTGCACCACCGGGTCGCAATGAAGCGAGGGTGTAGATGAAACCATTTGAACCATCTCTTGTACAAAGTCCTATTGCAGCTTGGAGCGCGTTGAACCTCTTTCGCAGTGTAGCCGGGGAAAGGTGCCACAACCTCTCTGTAGGGGCTGATCTTTTGTAGACAGCCTCAATTAGCTGCACAATGTCAGTTGGTTCAATCTTCTGATTTTCAGCAGGACGCAAAGAAAACATGGTGCTGCGTCGCATGGCAATACCAAATCCTGTCTGCATGCTGAAACAACTTCTCCGATTCTCATAACGCCAGCCCAAGAGATTGCAATGATGCAGGCCTCTCGAGCCCAGCCCCAAAGAAGGGCAAGCCCACATAGCGCCAGCATCACTGATAGCGGCATGGCACTGTGGTGCTCATGCGGCTCATCAACTGCCCAATTGAAGGCCAAATCCCAAGCTGCAGCGACCTGACGCCTTAGTGCTGGTCGTCTGCTCGTCACAGCGTTGATCGTTTCAGAGAACCTGCCATATGACTTTCCTGCTGCGTAGTCCTTCCCATACGAGCTCTGGGTCAAGAGCTCGGGTGTCCAGAAGGTCCTCACGTGTTGTCCTGAGGTTTGCAGCAATCCATTCATCGAAGGCACTGAGCAGTTGAACTCTCCTGTCACGAGTGCTCTGCAGAACAATCCTGTCGGTTTGCAGAACATTTCCACCTCTTCGACCAGCCTGGCTAATTTCATCGCGATTGTCAGGTGTCAGTGGCATGGCTCCGCACGGATGAAACGCGCCCCAAAAGGCTACAGCATGAAATTGGGCCCCATAATGATTACCATTATTAAGAAGTCCAAATTTCCCAAGGGGTGAGAGGAGGATGAGTGGCTTGAGGAGTGAAAGTCCGAAAGTCCAGATGAGGGCAAGGAGAAGCCCGACAGACACGCAGGAAAGACAGCAAATTCCAAAGGCCCGCCAGACCCCAGGGAACGAGGGCATTCCATGAGACCAAGTCTCGGCAGCTTCAACAGGGCAAGAGCATATGACGACCAAGAGGTAGAGCCGAATCCAGTTGGCTGTTGCCCGAGAGAACTGATGAGCATGGAGAGCACTGATCTTGGAAGAAGTCATACAGTCCAAAATGGAGACTTCGGCTGGTCGAGGGAGTTCAGAGTCACGGGAAGGAGCCTCGGCAGTGTTGAGCCGAGTGGGAGCAAATCCATAGGAAGGGTGGATGTTGCCGGAGATCTGGTAGCTGCAGGATCGAAGCAAGGATGCTGAGGATCTTCCCTTAGCATGTGCACCTTTTGCGACCCGTGAGTCAAGAAGGGCGCAAAACCTCCTGTCTCCACCTTGTCGTACAAGCTCCTTCTCAAGACTGACAAAGGAGCGACCCTCAAGGACATTGATATGCCCCGGGCAGTTCCAGTTCCAGGCAGCTCCAGTTTCCCACCCAGGTTGGAGGAGGATGTCATTGATGACTACGCTCTCATGGCATGGCCTGGTGTCCTTGCCCTCGGTAGGTTGGGTCTGCAAGGCAGCTTTGATCTGGCGAGCAATGTGCATGGCGAGGTCATGCGAGGTCAGGGTGGTAGACAGCGCTGGCTTTAGTGAATTTGCCTTCGACCTTCACATGGATATGTCCGCCAGGGCATGGGACGTTCAGCGGAGTCATGTCAAGTCCAAACCCAAGGAGTCTGAAGAGCTTGTTGTGGATGGACCCAAAGGCACAAGAGTGGATGATGGCCTCCTCAAAGCCCAAGCTGAGCAAGTACTTCCAAAAGCGTAACCAAGCCATCTTCGAAAGACGAAGCTGCTCCAGCAGGGCAATGACGAGCTCGCGCCAGCAAAACCAAAGGATGGCCAGACACCGGAAAGCCAGCAGGTTGCCGAGCCATGTCTTCGGATCCTTTCTATCAAAACCAAGAGGGTTGTCGTAGGACCGCACTGCCGGATGCTGAGCTGGCGAGAAAGTTGTGCAAGGAGGTTCACAGACGACGCTACGAAAGCGTCTTTCCTGGATCATCTGGAAAATCCAATTCAGGAGCTTCGGGTTGCTCATGTCATGGTGAGGACTGCTGGACAAATCAATGGGTGAGCATACCCTAAGCCCAAGCTCGGCTGCTGCCTTTGAAAGAGTCCCAGAGCCACCACAGATTTCAACAAGGTCGAAGTGAAAGTCCAAGACCTTGGGTGGAGATGTGAAGTCCATCATCATCTGCGTCAAATCCAAGTCCACGCAGCTGAGAGCGGGCTGGAGGGTCCAGCATAGTATAGGCTCCCTTCCTGTCTCCACCTAGCCAAAGGGTTGAAGAGAGGTCATCACCTATGAACTTCTTGGTGAAGGCCCCCTTGGCATTCGAAGCATCGGTGGCACAGAAATGTCAGTGACAGCGATGATCCCGAAGATGCTCGCTAAGACGAGTTCTTCAGCGGTGTTGCGATCGAGGTGGCAGACTTCATCAGCATCCTCGGCACTCCTGTTGCTAAATCCAAAGGGTCGAGCGAGGATGCACCCAAAGCAGCGCCGGTACATGAAGACAGAAATCCAATTGCCGGCAAGTCGAGCCGCTAGGGTTCTGGAGATGAGAGGAAGGGCTGCAGCTCGGAGGGAGAGTGCTGCGATCGCAATTCTCTTTGCGAGTGGAGCTCCAACTGTTACAAGACCAACACTTCTAACCTTGGTTGTAGAAGTAACTTCAGCACCAATGACCTTGAACTCCTCAGCTCCTTTGATGGTCTTCTCGTCAGACCCAAAAACCTGGGATTCTCTGTAGATACTCTCGGCAGTTGTAAGTCGATGGACAGAAGCTGAAGCCACAGGATCTGAGTCAACCTTCTCGCAGGATATGGAGAAGTAGTCATCGATGACTATAGGCCTTTCCACATAGGTCCCTTTGGAATGGGCTTGTGCGCCAGCAGAATCTCTTCCTCAACAAGAAGACCACCCCGACGTAAAAGCTCAGAGTGACTTTCAAGGGCAAACTCAACTCCAAGATGATCCCCCTGGAACAGGCTCTTGAATCCACAGAAGACCTCGGAAATGTCCTTCTCACGGATTGATTTTCGTGTGGAAGTCCATATCTGTCACTGTGAAGGGTCCTGGAGAACTTCTGGCCTGCAGAGGAGATCATGGAGGTTTGTGAGGGCTCGCTCTCCGGTTCTGCTTGGTGGTAGAAGTCCTTTCTGTCGGAGGCTGATCCAACCAAGGTATGACCACGTGGGCAATGCAAGTATGCTATTCTGCTACCCGCAGGGAGCTGTGCAGAAGGCCCACGAGGATGATACTCAGAGGAGTTGATTCATCTGCGATCTCCAATCTGTCGATCAACTTGGTCTGACTTGTGAGCATTGAATACCCTGCAGGAAAGTCCAAGAGGGTGTTGATGGGGGAACATAGCAAGGAGACCCTTGCTGTCCCAAAGTCTTGCAAGTCGGAGGCATTCTGCGGCATCTTCATGCTTGAAGTCGGGACCAGAAGCTCGTGAATCTTCATGGTGGAGTAGAATAGCTGGGTCCTGGAAAGGCAGCCACAGGATGCTCTCAAGGTATTCTTGCATGTCCCAAGCTCCGCCCCCAGAAAGCTTCAGCCTGCTGGCATCAAGCGACCTGTATGGGTGGACCGGAGAGAAGGGCTTTGTGACTCTAAACTTGTGCTCCTCTTTGATTTTCCCAGCGGTCTGTGGCTTCCCAATAGCACTCTCAGAGGCACCACAGTAGTCAAACTTGAACGCGGGGTCAGAGCTGGTAAAGTGCTCTAGCTCAATCAACTTTGCAATGAATTCAAAACCTGATCTTCCCGGAGGCAGAGGAAAGCCCCCGGGCTTCTCACACGCATCAAAAGCGCCTGCAGCCGTTGGTATGCGGCTTTCTGTGCCATGTTTGGGCGCTTCCCAAGAGTGGCTAAAGGTGCCAATCTCATACCATTGTGGATATAGTTCAAGGCAACGACAAGAACATGCAAGGCCCTTTTCAGACAAAGCTTCCTCCACTGCTTGGCATTGAGCTTGGGGACCCTCTGCTTCTGGAACAGTCCAACGATGGGTATGGGCAGAGGGGAGATCGCGGTAGCTGTGCTGTCGCCACAACGCTTGGTGTGAAAAGACATGGCAAGGAACGTGGAAAACCTAGTCCTGGAACGTAGAATGCTTCTAGGGAGGGAGGCCAAAAAGGTCTGAAAGTCAATGCAAGCCTCAAGCTCCTGTTCATCTGAGCTCTTTGCTATGCCTCCTCCTCCGCATTCTGGGTCGCAGCCGCTTTTGCTTTTGCTGCTCCCCCTTCCGGCCCGCTTGGTGTTGCACTTGTCCCCCCTTGGTCGGTGTTGCTCTGCCGGTTGTTGGTTGCCTCTGCCCGTCTGCTGCTGATGACATCCAACTCCTTCAGATACTGCAGGGCTGTCGTTACCCATCGTTGGCTGGCCGTTGGAGCGAAGGGTTCGGGGTTGGCCCCAGCTGCAAGAGACCGACCCGAGAACAGGGTCTGTGGTGGGTCCTCCACCAAAGCCAGGAGGAGACTAGGCAAACGAACAACAGGCTCAAGGCATCTTTAGCTGCCGGCAGATTGTCCTCTAACGTTCTGGAAGAAGACCCCTTTGTGGGCAGCAAGTTCGCCCTGCAGCTTTGCTCTGCCCATCGAGCCCCTGCTGGAGATGGAGGCCGAAGAAGATGCCATGTCCTGCAGCGGGTCTCCCGAGTTGCACGCTATTTGATTCACAAGGGCCTGAGGGCTTGACTCTGGGCCAGAACTGCCTTTGCAAGGTCTGATTGATCTCCTCTCAGGTCCTCCGCAATCTCTGCAGGGCCAAAGGAAACTCTGGGAGTGGCCGGGCTTGCAGTACTTCTGGGAGGAGGCATCGATTTCACCAGGCCCCCCAAATTCGAGGGCGCAGACCCATCCATAGCTAAGTTGCCAAGTGGCATTCTCAATGCTGATGCCCGATCTGGTCCCCTGGCTGTCCCGGCTTTGATCGCTGCAGTCCGCTGCGCCAAATCGTGCAGCTGGTTGGAGAGGGCTGGAAGAGCCTGAGTGATCTGCTGCAAAGACTCCGCCAACGTGGCAACCGTGATCTTCCTCTTTGCTGAAGACTTTGGTACCCTTCCTCCAGGAGTAGCCCCACCGGGAGCTGCCTTTCGTTTGCTGAGAGGAGGTGGCTCTGTCTCGTCTGCTGAGTAAAACTGGAGCCTGTCTGATGTCTCCATGCTGGAGGCCCATGAAAGCACCTTTGAAACCAACTCTGACGGAAGTGGACCCAGGTGGTGTTCAAGACGTCGAAGGCCATGGTGTCTGCGAGGTCTCCCCAATTGTTCAAAGACGTCAAATCACCCCAACATTGAAATCCACCAGAAGAGTTGTGATGGCTTCCCCAGGAACTGGTTCTGGCTCCTGCGCAATGGCGTCTTCGTCCACGGCAGCAGCTTGTGCAAGAAGTCGGGTATGGGGGCCAACCAAAGCCAGTGGCTCTGCATGCATGCCGGTCTCTAGTACTTCGCCTAGGAGAGCCAATTCTGGTAGGGCAAGTAAAAGTCCATCGTTTAGGGTGCTGCCATTTGCTTGCGTTCCGTGCCCCATCGATGCCAAGTCCAGCACATAGGGCTGAAACCCGACCGGGCCCAATTCTGCAAAAAGTGGCAGCACATCTTCCTGTCCATCTTCTCCAAGCTGTTGCAACTCTATCTCTGCCATGTCTACTGCGGGAAGGTGACGTTTGAAAATCCAGCACCCGCCAAGTAGATCTGGGCCTCAGCCTTGGAAGGGCATGCGGCCCAAGGCACCCAGAGTGGGAGACAAGGGGGAGACAAGTGTAAACTCACGCGACCCAAGGCACCCAGAGTGGGAGACAAGGGGGAGACAAGTGTAAACTCATGCGGCCCAAGGCACCCAGAGTGGCAGACAAGTGTGGCAGACAAGTGTAAACTCATGCGGCCCAAGGCACGCAGAGTGGGAGACAAGTGGAAGACAAGTGTAAACTCATGCGGCCCAAGGCACGCAGAGTGGGAGACACGGGGGAGACAAGTGTAAACTCATGCGGCCCAAGGCACCCAGAGTGGGATGCAAGCCCGGAGAGAGGCAAAATCATGCGGCCCAGGGATGCAACCCTTTGAAAGGAGTAAGAACCCCATACAGGCAAGCCTGTTTGGGGAAAAAGTAACATGACATAGGACCTCTGCAATTGTTTGGGCTCTCCAAGATGCACAACATGTCCCCTGCAAACCCGACGTTCGCTCACACCCAAATAACACACCCAAACAGTATCATATACTTGTCACCAGAGGACGAATGAAAACACATGCTATACGCAGCGATTTTGACTTAAGGTTTTTAGGATTTAGGGTTTCAATTTACGGTTTAGGGTTTTCGGGTTTTAGGGGTTGTTTTTATTTTGTTGGCCATTTGTTGATAGCCACGGTTGGCAGGAAGCACTGGCTGGCCGGTGCCATTAGTCAACGGTTGGGCTGCATACGGTGGAGAGCCTTTGATGGCAAGACGTAGGGCTCACGGGTTGCCAGGGGATGCTAGGGGATGGGGGTCAAAATTGTAGACCCTTTTGCAAACCAATTGGACGTTTAGACATATCGTCAACCTCTTTGAAGACATGCATAGAATCAGGCGCACAATTTTGGGCTGGTGCCCTAGACATCCCTAGACCCTCGACCCTGGCGGATTCCACGGATGGATTTGTCCCAGGCTTTTGGCGTTCCCTCCTACACGGTGAAAGGGCCCATCTGCATTGTCGACGGCCTCGTGTCAGGTGGATGTAGCTATGGATGAAATTCGCACTATTTCGCACTGAGTATCGCTGAGTTAAAGTATGCTACAATAGTTGATTGTGTGAGCATCATGAATAGGCAGACAACGCATGCAGACATCCAGAAAGTGGTTGGTGCACCCACAGGGGCTTAATACATTTTGAGATGCATTAAATCGTTCTGAGCTGCCTCGAAGAGGCAGGATGATGGCAGAAATTGCAACCGTGTCATCACACTCATCCTGTGTCACTTTCCGAAGGTGGCACTTGGGGTCACATTGCTACACTCCCAGAGGAATGCCGACCGGTTTCGACGCAACTTTTCAACGCGAATCTTGGCTGATGCGGCTCATGTGATTCTGCAATTGATTATACCAGCGTTGACCCCAAACAGATGTAGAAATTTTCAATTATAGTGTACATGCGAACCAAGGAACCCGAATGGGAGACAAGTGTGGGAGACAAATGTGGGAGACAAGTGGGAGACAAGTGTAAACTCAGCCCAAAGAAACCAGAGTGGGAGACAAGTGTGGGAAACAAAAGTGGGAGACAAGTGTGGGAGACAAGTGTAAACTCATGCGCTCCCAGACATCCAGAGTGGCAGATACGTGTGGGAGACAAGTGGGAGACAAGTGTAAAATCATGCGGCCCAAGGCACCCAGAGTGGGAGACAAGTGTGGGAGACAAGTGGGAGACAAGTGTAAACTCATGCGGCCCAAGGCACCCAGAGTGGGAGACAAGTGTGGGAGACAAGTGGCAGACAAGTGTAGAATCATGCGGCCCAAGGCACCCAAAGTGAAAGACAAGTGCGGGAGACAAGGGAAAGACAAGTGTGGCCTCATGCGGCCCAAGGCACCCAGAGTGGGAGACAAGTGTGGGAGACCAGTGTGAGAGACAAGTGTGGGAGACAAGTGGGAGACAAGTCTGAAAATCATGCGACCCAAGACACCCAGAGTGAAAGACACGCGTGGGAGCCAAGTGGAAGACAAGTGTAAACTCATGCGGCCCAAGGCACCCAAGTGTGAGGGACAAGTGGGAGACAAGTGTAAAATCATGCGGCCCAAGGCACCCAGAGTGGGAGACAAGTGCGGGAGACAAGTGGGAGACAAGTGTAAACTCATGCGGCCCAAGGCACCCAGAGTGGGAGACAAGTGTGGGAGACAAGGGGGAGACAAGTGTAAACTCATGCGGCCCAAGGCAGGAGACAAGTGTGGGAGACAAGTGTGGGAGACAAGGGGGAGACAAGTGTAAACTCATGCGGCCCAAGGAACCCAGAGTGGCAGACAAGTGCGGGAGACAAGTGCGGGAGACAAGTGTGGAAGACAAGTGTGGGAGACAAGTGTGGGAGACAAGTGGGAGACAGGTGTAAACTCAAGCGCTCCCAGACATCCAGAGTGGGAGACACGTGTGGGAACAAGTGGGAGACAAGTGGAAAATCATGCGGCCCAAGGCACCCAAGTGTGAGGGACAAGTGGGAGACAAGTGTGGGAGACAAGTGTGGGAGACAAGTGGGAGACAGGTGTAAACTCAAGCGCTCCCAGACATCCAGAGTGGGAGACAAGTGTGGGAGACAAGTGGGAGACAAGTGAAAACTCATGCGGCCCAAGACACCCTGAGTGGGAGACAAGTGTGGGAGACAAGTGTGAGAGAGAAGTGTGGGAGACAAGTGGCAGACAAGTGTAGAATCATGGGGCCCAAGGCACCCAGAGTGAAAGACAAGTGTGGGAGACAAGTGGAAAACAAGTGTAAAATCATGCGGCCCAAGGCACCCAAGTGTGAGGGACAAGTGGGGGACAAGTGTAAACTCATGCGGTCCAAGGCACCCAGAGTGGGAGACAAGTGTGGAAGACAAGTGTGGGAGACAAGTGTCGACTCATGCAGCCCAAAGAACCCAGAGTGGGAGTGTGGGAGACAAGTGGGAGACAAGTGTAAACTCATGCGGCCCAAGGCAACCAGAGTGGGAGACAAGTGTGGGAGACAAGTGTGGAAGACAAGTGTGGGAGACAAGTGCAAACTCATGCGGCCCAAGGCACCCAGAGTGGGAGACAAGTGTGGGAGACAAGTGTGGGAGACAAGTGTGGGAGACAAGTGTAAAATCATGCGGCCCAAGACACCCAGAGTGAAAGACAAGTGTAGACTCATGCGGCCCAAGGAACCCAGAGTGTGAGGGACAAACGGGAGACAAGTGTAAAATGATGCGGACCAAGGCACCCAGAGTGGGAGACAAGTGCGGAAGACAAGTGGAAGACAAGTGTAAACTCATGCGGCCCAAGGCAGCCAGAGTGGGAAACAAGTGTCGGAGACAAGTGGGAGACACGTGTAAACTCATGCGGCCCAAGGCACCCAGAGTGGGAGACAAGTGTGGGAGACAAGTGTGAGAGATAACTGTGGGAGACAAGTGGGAGACAAGTCTGAAAATCATGCGACCCAAGACACCCAGAGTGAAAGACAAGTGTGGGAGCCAAGTGGAAGACAAGTGTAAATTCATGCGGCCCAAGGCCACCAAGTGTGAGGGACAAGTGGGAGACAAGTGTAAAATCATGCGGCCCAAGGCACCCAGAGGGGGAGACAAGTGTGGGAGACAAGTGGGAGACAAGTGTAAACTCATGCGGGCCAAGGCCCCCAGAGTGGGAGACAAGTGTGGGAGACAAGGGGGAGACAAGTGTAAACTCATGCGGTCCAAGGCACCCAGAGTGCGAGACAAGTGTGAAAGACAAGTGTGGGAGACAAGTGTGGAAGACAAGTGTGGGAGACAGGTGTAAACTCATCCGGCCCAAGGCACCCAGAGTGCGAGACAAGTGTGGGAGACAAGTGGGAGACAAGTGTAAACTCATGCGGCCCAAGACACCCAGAGTGGGAAACAAGTGTGGAAGACAAGTGTAGGAGAGAAGTGTAAACTCATGCGGCCCAAGGCACCCAGAGTGGGAGACAAGTGTGAGGGACAAGAGGGAGACAAGTGTAAACTCATGCGGCCCAAGGCACCCAGAGTGGGAGACAAGTGTGGGAGACAAGTGGAAGACAAGTGTAAACTCATGCGGCCGAAGGCACCCAAGTGTGAGGGACAAGTGGGAGACAAGTGTAAAATCATTCGGCCCAAGGCACCTTGAGTGGGAGACAAGTGTGGGAGACAAGTGTGGGAGACAAATGGAAGACAAGTGTAAACTCGCCCAAGGCACCCAGAGTGCGAGACAAGTGTGGGAGACAAGTGTAAACTCATGCGGCCCGCAACCAGAATGGGAGACAAGTGTGGGAGACAAATGGAAGACAAGTGTAGACTCATGCGGCCCAAGGCACCCAGAGTGCGAGACAAGTGTGGGAGACAAGTGGGAGACAAGTGGGAGACAAGTGTAAACTCATGCGGCTCAAGGCACCCAGAGTGGGAGACAAGTGTCGGAGACAAGTGGGAGACAAGTGTAAACTCATGCGGCCCAAGGCACCCAGAGTGGGGGCCAAGTGAGGGAGACAAGTGTGAGAGACAAGTGTGGGAGACAAGTGGGAGACAAGTCTGAAAATCATGCGACCCAAGACGCCCAGAGTGAAAGACAAGTGTGGGAGCCAAGTGGAAGACAAGTGTAAACTCATGCGGCCCAAGGCACCCAAGTGTGAGGGACAAGTGGGAGACAAGTGTAAAATCATGCGGCCCAAGGCACCCAGAGTGGGAGACAAGTGCGGGAGACAAGTGGGAGACAAGTGTGAACTCATGCGGCCTAAGGCACCGAGAGTGGGAGACAAGTGTGGGAGACAAGGGGGAGACAAGTGTAAACTCATGCGGCCCAAGGAACCCAGAGTGGCAGACAAGTGTGGGAGACAAGTGTGGGAGACAAGTGTGGGAGACAAGTGTGGGAGACAAGTGTGGAAGACAAGTGTGTGAGACAAGTGTAAACTCATGTGGCCCAAGGCACCCAGAGTGCGAGACAAGTGTGGGACACAAGTGGGAGACAAGTGTAAAATCATGCGGCCCAAGGCACCCAGAGGGGGAGACAAGTGTGGGAGACAAGTGGGAGACAAGTGTAAACTCATGCGGCCCAAGGCCCCCAGAGTGGGAGACAAGTGTGAAAGACAAGTGTGGGAGACGAGTGTGGGAGACAAGTGTAAACTCATGCGGCCCAAGGCCCCCAGAGTGGCAGACAAGTGTGAAAGACAAGTGGAAGACAGGTGTAAACTCATGCGGCCCAAGGCACCCAGAGTGGGATGCAAGCCCGGAGACAGAGGCAAAATCATGCGGCCCAGGGATGCAACCCTTTGAAAGGAGTAAGAGCCCCATACAGGTAAACCTGTTTGGGGAATGATAACAAAATGTCCGCCTTCGAAGGGAAAAAAGGTGCTAGAAGAAGCAAAGATGGCAAGATGGGTGCACCAGGCTGTAGACGATTGGAAAGAGCATGAAGGGACTGTGGTAGGTTTCAGCTGCAATTGCCAACAAACACAAAACTTGGGGGTGGTTTTCTGAAGCATTGAATGGTTTGGGCATATGGTTGGTTTCAGTTGCAGTGAGTGAGTTGCAGTTTGCCAGTTGCAGTTTAAAACTGTTTATAGCAAGGTAATAGCTGAATGAATTTTCCGGCTCAACCCTTTTCACATCTATTCACTGTGGAGTTTTTTTTTCAGCGTCCAGCCGAGGAACAATCATGACAGGGTGACACGCTTGGATGTTACTCCGGCTGGTGCTATTTCGCCCCTCGACAGCATGTAAAACTCATTGCTGAGCTTCCTCAGAGGGGATGAAGCTGTCCATCGTTGTCCCATGGCGGCATTCTTTGATATAATATCAATAATATATATATATGTATCAATGATATATCAATGACATACAACTCAGCATTGGCTCACAGGTATATCGATGGTGGAGCTGAGTATGGCTGGGTCAGTTTCAGTGGCATCATCTTCACCACCGATGCCACTGCGCAGTCGGCCCTGCCAGTGGCTTCGGGTTGGACCTCGGGGGGTGGCTGGCCTGGCCCAACATACGCGGTGGCCGAAGGCAGGGGGGATATGTCACTCATGACACCATACGTCGTCACCGTCACCCAAGACATGGGTGGAGTTCACCTGGGTCTGGAGATTCTGGAGTCAACTGAGTCAACTGAGTCAAGTGGTGAGATATGGTGAGATAGAAACTATACAATGCTATACTGCTATACATATGTTCAGCGATCAGTTGTGGACTCGTTGCCATGGTGTAATGATTGTTCAAGGGGTCGCAAGTAGTCACCCAAGGTTGTTGCTGTTTATTGTGACCCGCGTGTCCTGTTGGCGGCACCAGAACCGTTGTCGGGACGGTGGGACGGTCCTGGAAATCCGCCAGGCCTTTGCATCTTGGAAGGCTTGGTATGGGGCCTTAATTGGGGACATGCCATTACATATCTCCCAGTGGAGTGTTGGCCCATGCAAACGCTGATCTTCGGTGCCAACAACGGTGCCGGGGTTATCCAACGAATTGACGCTTGGATGCAGGTCTTCAGTCTTCAGCTTGCGCTGTGGCGGTGGCAGATTTTAGCACACTCCTTTGTGTACATTTTAGTGAGGCTCCAGCTTAAAAGGACTAACATGGCAAGACCATACGCAGTTCAGATCACTTCCAGATCCGGCTGAAGACCAACGCGTTTGATGTATTTTAGAGTAGTTCCAGTGGTTCCCTCGACCCATTTCGAAAGATCCACTTTGATCCGCTTTATCCTCAATTGCTCAGTGCCTGAGACGAAATTTGGGTACTCAGACATGGTCTGAGCCCTAAGGATGTGGAGTCAGATGGAACGGTGAAGCACGTCAGCGAGGGTGACTTGCCATGACTTTCCGCATTTAGAGACACGGCCTGCTTTTGTTTGGGGATGCATTCGGGGAAGCATTTGTTCGGCGAATGCTGAGCTTACTCGGGGTTTGGTTTGGCTTAGCGGCTTAGCTGATCTTAGCATAGCACCCAGGAGCCACTCCAGCAAACGGCTGGCTCAGCTTGGCCGGCATTGCCTTTGCCAAAGAAACCTCTGGGGAGCGAAAGATGCCGCTGAGGCAGCCGAGTCTCCGCCACAGACAGACAGAGATACATAACATATATAACTTATATAACTTATATAACATACATAATCTATACATAATCATATATAATCTATAAAGTGTGAAGGGTGCAACATGACAGGTGCAACATGACAGAGACACACACACAGACACACGTACATACATGCATAAATGCATGCATGTATGCACATTTTTTAAATAGGCATTATCCCAACGGAAATCTGTTGACAAACATCCTGCAATGCAGGAGGTTCTGAGCAGATTCTGACTCACAGATCTCAGCGATCTCACAGTTTGCAGCTGAAAAAAAGTGTGCTGTGCTCGGCAGGAACGGTTGGGTCACCTGGGGTGATGCCTTTGGAGACGCGACGATGAACATGAAGCATCTCGTCCAGGGGCACATGGCACAGCTAGGGGCCAGAACTGACATGTCCAAGGTCTTGGTGATGGAACTCCCGCATCAAGGGATATGAAGGGTTCAGGAGATCCGTTTCTACATTTTTTTCCATTCTAAAGATTTTTGTTAAACAAGTAGCATATGGAGCTTCTCTGTTTGTGCTTTGAATTTGCAGCTCAGGAACGGTCTCCGCTTCATGGAGGCTCCATGTGTTGAGTTTCCGAGTTTACCGAGTTTACCCTCAGCATGCTATGCGTGGTTTCACCAAAGCATCCCGGGTTCCTTCCGGCGCCCAGATGTCGCCACTTAGGGACTTAGGGACTTAGCATTCACTTGCGCATACACTTGCCGTCGACATCGCACTTGTACACGTTTGTATTGCCATTTCTTTCCCTTGAAAAAGACCAGTTTGGTGCTTAGCTTCCCACTGACTTCGCACTTCGCAGTTTGCTCGTTTTTGATCGTTTTTCTATGTTTTTCTTTTCATTAAAGCGGCGTTGTTGTCAAGCCTGCAGTGGTGAGCCACTTTGTCCCGGAACAAGCTGCCTTCAGCCCGACAAATCCTCTTGAACTGGGAGCGACCTGCCCTGTTTCATCCTGTTTCTCTATCCAAATTTCTCCAACATCTCCAGAGCGCCCAGAGGTTTCCAAAGTTGCAGGGCGGTTCCAGACAACACCCCCTTCTGAAGCCATGAGTTGCAGATGTATAGACTGTATAGACCTCTGGGGGCATGGCAGGGCCCCAACGAGGGGTACAGGATTCCAAGGAACTGCGGTCACAGAGTTAGCACATTTCAGGGGTTTTGCGGGTTCCAGGATGATCCAGGATGATCCAGGATGTTGGTTCTAAGACATCCAGCCATGTGTTTCGGTTGGTGTGTGGCCCAAAAAATCCTGCCATGACCGTGCCATGAGGCCATTGTGCTGAGTGGCTCAACCTGGGATCTTCTGGCCCAACTGCCTGAGGGCTGCTGGCCAACGCAGCTTGGATCCCATAACCATCCCATGGTGGCAGTTTCGATGCCACCACATGCCACCACTATCCGTCACTGTGTCACTGTGTCACTATCCATAACGTATTTTAATGTATTTTAATGTATTTTAACTTTAACGTATTTTAATTAATGTATTTTATGTTGATCCCATTTTATATGTTATAACTGTTATGCCACAGTTCTCACAAGTGTCACAAGACACAGATTATGCCAATGCCTTCGACCCTCCCCCTCCCACAGTTCAAACATGTTTTCCCACTCAACCAACCCAAACGTACCACCAGGACCCCAGGAGCGCCCGGGTCAGCTAAGGCAGCTAAGGCCCCCAACTTCAAAAACAGCTATTTTTCAGCAGGTTTTTTCTGATCCAAAGCTTGGTGCCACACACCTTACCAAAAATTGAATGGCGGAAGCCTTCAAACCATTTCAAGCCCATCAGCTTGTCCTCCTGCTTGTCCATTAGTCTCCGCATTTTTTCCTGCCCACCCTGAGTCATACAATCTGTTCATTGATCATGTCCTCTCTTCTGCATAGAACCGGTGCAATGCTGATTCAAAAAAGTATGACTTGGGGGCACCAGGGCTGGCCTTACCATATAGAATGGGGCTTAACCCCACAAAATAATCGGCGATGGCGATGCCTGAAAGTGTGTGGAAAACAGGACAAGTACTAGCCTTACTAGCCGTTACTAGCCCTATAGCTTTCCACAATTTTCCACATGAGATGACGGAGGAAGCGCCTCATCTTCACGGCGAACGGGCACGATGACCAGTTTCGCGTGGATGTGACAACCAGTGGAGTCATCACCATAGTGACTGGTGCCAAGTTTCTCGGCCAACTTTTTTTAAATCTCAAAGTCCAGAAAGAGATACCAGTGATGAACCCTGAATGATCCTGAATGTGTGTGCAACATTGTGCAACTGTGTAACTCTTCATTTAGATGATTTGGAGCGTGCCCTGTCTCGCTGCTCAGTCCTAGTGGATGGTTGAGCCTCAGCAACATCATCTTTGCTCCGGACAGCATGGGTCATATCGCATTGCCCTTGGTCAACGGGTGGACTGCCTATGGTGGCGTCTATGGAACCCCGGACTACACCGTGCGCAACGGGATGTGCTCATTGGAGGGCCTCCTTTACAAGTCAGGTTCATCTCCAAATCAGCAGCTTGCTTTGCTGCCAGAGGACTGCCGGCCAGGCTGGCGCCGGATCTGGGGAGTTGTGCCAGGTCGGGTTGGAGCGTTTGGATGGGAATCCTTCCGACAAACATCGATGAAAAAAGTCTGACGTTTCCATGTTGGATTTCATGCATGTAGAAATGTAGACCCAGTAAACCCTCCGGGCCCCGGGAGAAACTTGCATTCTCTAAGTTCAGAGTAGGCGCACCGCTTGCTTTCGCGCCATTGAGGCAGCGGAGTCTTGATCTTCCAGACTGATAATCATGGCGCAACGGCTCGTGTGGATGTCTACACCACAGGTGAAGTGTACTGGATTGCTGGCGGAGCCCAAGTGTCCCGGAGGTATTCAGCTATGCTAAATGTGAGGGGGAAAACTCATGAAAAAGAGCTGCAGTGACCTCCAGTGGCAACATGTTTTGCGCTGCACGGTGTGCCATTCGATTTCAAACTTTCTTGGTGCCCTAAGGAATGGGTCAGCTTGTCCGGCATCGTTTTCGCCACTGGGAACGGCGGAGCTATTGCGTACCCACTAGCTTTGCAGAATGGTTGGGGAATCTATGGCGATGGCAGTTGGTTTGCACCACCACAATACTTCCTGAGCGATGGCATTTGCTCCTTGCAGGGGCTGATTTCAGGCGATCTGATAGATTGAAAACGATTGAAACAGAATTCTCTGAGATTCTGCGGCACTTCCAGCACAAGCAAGTTTCCATATCATAAGTGCAAAGGTCAATGCAGAGATATCAGTGGCACGTTGTAGAGTTCTTGTTGTTGTCAAATGTTGATATGCCAATTGTATGACTTTGTATGGCAGTTGTCAGTTTCCATACAGTTTCCATGTCATGGTCCCGTCGTGGTATCCGTGGGCCAATCCAGGCGGGACTTGGACGACTTTTTTGACGCTGCCCTCCGACTGTCGCCCCAACAAGGCGCTGACACTGAATCTGAGTCGATCCGGGCATCAATTCATGGCCATGTTTTTTTTTAAAACGATATTCATGATGTTCATCCAATTTCATCTATTTAACTCATACTATGTCATGAATGCGTCATTATCATTTATCCAGCATCATTTGATGCAGCTTGGAGTCTGGGAGCATGAGTTTACAATATGTGGAGCACCACTCTCAGCAATGTGTGGAGCGTTTGCCCACAGCCCACTCTCACGGTGTCACGGCCATCGAGAAGGCCCATCCAGTTCCACAAAAATCGAAGTGTCAGCTGAGTCACAGATGGATGTTGAGCATTGTGTTATTTCCCGTTCAGGTGGTGATCTTCGACTTGAATCAACATGACGCCAACATGCGAGTTGATGTCTACCCCACCGGAGAAGTCAACTATATCACCGGCTCAACTGCTCATGGCTGGGTCAGTCTAAGCGGCATCATCTTCGAAGCCGTGTGAGAAGTTTCCTCTTCCTAGGAATCCCCCAGGAAATTTAAGAGAATTTCCAGAGTGGAAGGCTACACGTGTTTTGAAGAAAAATCAAAGGTGCTCGTTTCACCACCGTTGGCAGATTCATTCATCATCAGGTTTGAAGGATTTCATTTTGAGTCGTCACAGCCAATTTTGGCCGTTTAATTGCATTTTGGATGGCAATTCTCGGTTACACTGGTCCATAACAAGTCTCGACATCCGGTTTCAAGAAACGCGGCGCCTATTCTTGGATCCCCTACTGGTCATTCTTTCCTTTTGGTGCTGTGCTTGTGGTTCTATTCCGATGGTTGTGCTATAGCATTGTCGTTACTTGCTTTTTTTTGCAGCCGTATGGCCCTGGTACACCAAGCCATGGCCAAGCTGTCGCCATGGCGAAGCTGATGCGAAATGAGTGGCCTTTCGGATGCGGAGAACTCTTCATTTGTTCGCTGGTGAGGCACGCTCAACGCGAGCCAAGAAATCAGTCCTTGTGAAGACCACTCAGGCAATTTCGCATGCGAGGCGGCAGTTCAAGTGGCAAAGCGCATTGCAGATCTTCTTCGAGTACACGAGAGAAATGAAACACTCTGAGGATGAGCCAATTATTGAGATGCCATTGATCAACACAACGATCACTGCAGCTCTAAGAAGAACCCCCTTCCCCATCGCCGCAGTTGTAGTTCTGGTTGAGGTGGTTGATTGTTGGTGGTTGTTGGTGGCTGCTGGTGGTTGTTGATTTAGCACGGAAGAAACGATGAAAAACGACGAATCGACTGCTGGGAGGCTCAGTGAGGCTCAGTGAGCCCGACAGCTTTGTGAGATCCGAGGCATGTGAAGTTGGCACCTGCTGGCAGATAGCACTGGAGTTGGCCAGGCAGGCGCAGGACTTTCACCTGCGGCCCACAGCGCCTCGGTTCGAAACGCTTGAATCATCTTGAATCATCTTGAATCATCTTGAATCATTTTCATTAACACTTGAATCACCTGAACAGCCGAAATAGAAACAAGTCTTGGATGGTCTTGGACATTTCCGAAGAAACACCCTTCAACCTCTTCGGCCTTGGTGTCACGGGTGTCACGGGTGTCACGGGTGTCACGCGACCAAGTCCCCGCAGCGAGGCCTTTACATTGACGGCCTTGATGTCTGCGTGCCGACAAGGACGCCAGTGGCAAAAGGCCTTGGAGATCTTCAGAGTCGACGTCGACGACGGCGCAGTTGATGCATCGCTGTTGGGGATTGCCATCGCATGTGACTCGGATGCGCATGGCAAGATGGCAATCATGTGTGCAGCGCCGGTGTCCAATAAAAATTGACCAAAAACCTAGCGTATTCTTGCAGTTTGTTGCCAACCTCCAAACTGTGAGGTCAAGCTGCATTATTGGCCCTTCGTTTTGGTACGTGCAATTTAGTCGGAACTCGCGGCACAACTCTTGCAGCCACTTCATTGAAGATTGTTCTCTCAACGAGTCTGGTGTAGTAAACATAGAAGGCACTGAAAGAGCGGAAGCAGACGCTGGGGTTTGACGCGCGATGGATTTATAGGTTCCTTTTTGGCTGTATTGATTGACCGATTTTGCCGATTTTCTCTCGGACTCTAGGACTACCAGCAGGTTTGGAGTTCTAACATGTTCTGAGGCGCGGCCACGGGCCATTTGTGGACCTTTGCTTTGGATATCTTGGCTTCATCCCATCATTACGGTGTTGTGCCAACAGCTGCAGCCGAAAACGCCGGGATTTTAGCATGTGAAAAGGGCCGCCAGTGGGAAATGGCTCTGTCCATCTTCGCTAAGATGCAGAGGCGAGAAAAGATCTCCATGACCACAGTGAATTCAGTGCTTTCGGCTTGCGAAAAAGCCAGGCAATGGAGACATGCCCTGTCTCTGCTGCAGATTCTGCCATCCTTAAAGCTACAACCCAACAGATCCAACAGCAGCAGAGTCATCAGTGTCAATCTGGCCATTGGCGCCTTCGCTGCTGGGAGACACTGGCAGCAGGCCATGGACTGCTTCCATCAGCTGTGCCGTTCGAATGAGGCGAGCCACACCAGCCACACCACCACGTTGTCCTCCTGCGAACGTGCCATGCGCTGGGAAGATGCGTTGACACTGCTGTGGGCATGGCCTTTCAACAGTCAGAGCTCGGAGGCACAGCATGGCATGCAGTGGCTGCTGGTCATTCTTGGTCACTTGCAGGTCATGCTCAGTCATATGCTAGTCATATGCTAGTCATAGCAGTTGGGATATGTTGGGCCACCCCCACCAGGCTACCCTACTTTTGTTTCGAGTTTAAACAGTTTAGAGTTTCTGGCTGCGATATCAGGTCGATACGACATGACAGGCATGGTCAAACCAGAATGCTGGATGAGAAAATCAGAAAATCGTTGATAGGTGGCTTCCATTGCAGCAGCACGAGCTGGCCGCTGGCAAGAAGCGTTATCTCTGGTTCAAGGTCATTTTGGAAGGCAGCAACTGATTCAATCTTGCGAAGCTCGGCAGAAGGAATTAACGTGAATTAACGTGAATTAAGCGCATTTGAAGCAAACATCCCAAGACTTGTTCGTTCTTGGCACACCTTGGCTGCTTTGTATGGCATTTTGTATGCTTCAGGAGCAGTCTGGCTGCTGGGGTCGCTCTGTGCAGCCCAACATTGAGCATTCAGCTCGTTTGGTTGAGACGTTACATCGATGGAAGGCCGGTGATTGGACAGCCTTCCTGGAAGTCATCGTTTTCCTAAACCTGGAACTTTTTTGGAAGTCATCCTTTTTGTTGTTTCTCCAAGCTTGAAGGGTTTTGGACGTTTTTGGAGGCCGGATTTACGTGATCAGGTGGAGCTGCCAAAAACAGGAGAGGTTGCACTTCGGGGTGTTGGAAAGCATTTGGCGATTTTGATGCACCCTGGGACAGCTCCCAGCAATGTCGCTAGGCTTGCAGCCAGTGTTGGGTTCGGATCTTGAAGGTGTCGGAAGATGGGGAAGGATATGGAAGGATAGCAGAAGTGGCAGAAGTCTCTTGTTTTTTTCCTCAGGCGATTTGGTGCTTGACTGCACGGGATTGGCAGGAGGCTAGTGGTATTGCGTTGAGAAGCCTTGAGCAGTGGTAATTCCTGCGGGTCAAGAGGTGCTGCCATGACAGCAGAGGAAAAGAAAAACGCCAACAGCCTTGGTCAGCTGTGACGTCTTTGTATTTTCATATTATGTTGTCAATATTTTAACATATTTTCACTAGGGTTTTCACTCAGTCTTGGCTTTGAAGACATTTGAGCAGATGTCATGCAGGTTGCCACAGGCCATGGCCTTTTTTTTGGCTCAGAGGGCTCGAACTTGCGCCTCTTTCAGGGCTTGGATCCCCACTTGCTTCACATTCGCTTCAAAGGATTAGATAAGGATAGTGACTGATGTGACTGGGAGTGATTGGAACATATTGGAACAATGGCCTGATTGAAGCACACAGCCATACTATCAGATCTCAGATACTATCAGATACTTTCGGATACATTTGGGATACTTGATGTATCTTGATGTATCTTGATCTTGATATACTGCAATACCATAACTGGTTGGTGGTTTGGAAAAAATTTTATTTTCAAATATTTTCAATCATATCTGGGATGTCATCCTTCCCATTGACTTTCATATTTTTCAAGATGGTTAAAACATGTTAAAACCACCAACCAGATAGAACATGGGCCGGCGCATCCAACGCCTGGAGCGCCTGCGGCGGCTGAACGCGCGGGTGAGAGCTGGGCGCTCCAAGCCGAAAGGATCGAAACGGGAGAGTGGGAGACTGAGCTCAGAAACCTTTGATGTTTCAAACAATCACAAGTTAATACAACTATAATAATTATATAATTATATAACTATATCATATTCATTGTATATATATATTTATAACCAGTAATGACATATCATAATTAATTATGTGTCAATTTCTTTTAACAGAAGATCAGAAGTAGCTTGCAGCAGTTGAAGTTCCAACTGAGGTTCTTCCCCTGCGGCGGGGAAAGCATCGACCGAATCGGCTGTGAAGATCCAGGTGCAGCTGCAGCTGGAGAAGAGCAGAAACGTTCTTCAGCCAGCGGCAACTTCGAAACGACATGAAGAACTCCATGCCCGTTCTGTGACTTGGAAATACTTGGAAGGTGACCCCAAGTGGTAACAATACTGTGTCAACTGTGTCAATACTGTGTCAATACTGTGTCAATACTGTAATGGAAGTGATGCAGAACAGCGACAGCGCAGACTTGAGGCTGTGAAGCGCGCACTTCCTCGATATGCTCGGATCAACATGCTGGCGCCAGGAGAGCTCGGCACCGGCAATTTGTGCCTCAGCACTTTCATGATGCTTTCACAACACTCACTTTTAGTTTTTCCCATTTTTTCCCTTATCTGACTTATCTGAATCTGATTCAATCTCCAGAGACCATATGTCACCAAAGATCATAATGATCTCCCCGGCACGGCCCGGCACGGCTTTCGAGGAGTGACTTGGGGCCAAGTGCAGCGGCACCTACAAGAGACGGGGCACATTTTTTGGCGCCCCAGTCTCAAAGAGAAGCGCGAGGCGGCACGTCGATCCGCAGGTTTAAAGCCACCAGATGGCAAGAAGATGCTTGGTTTAGCCACCTCATTTGGATTTGTAAACATGTAATCTAAGACAATCTAAGAATCTAAGCTACTGCAACTTGTTCAACCAAATCGCATGGATAGGTACAAGTCTAATTGGATTCAAATGATTCAACTGGGGGATTTGTTGGACAGTACCTTGTTTTATTTTATTTCTGGATATTTCTGGAAGTTCCAAGGATCTACTACCGAGATGTGCACTTGCCCGAGCTCCTGGTATTTCGACCAATGGGTCAGTCCTACACGGAGGATGCGATTTGGATGAACTTAGAACTCTGTGGCATGTAGCATTTGGATGAACTTCAGACATCTCTGTACCCAACAAGCCATGCCACTCACATCAAAAACATACGTAATCATAGCATATCATAGGTACTTGTACGCACAGAAACAACTTCAATTCTACTTGTTCAAGTCTTCAAGTTGTTCCACGCCAACTTCCAAGTTCTCCCATCCATTAAATTATCACAAAGCATCATAGATATAAACAGATGAGACATAAACACGAACACACACACACACACATATATATAAATATCAACAATTGTAAACATATATCAAATATATTTCCGTTTTTTTTCCAAATCCTTTCCAATTCCAGGTGGAGATGTTCGACGAAGGCGCCCTGGTCTTCCAACAGAAGGCCTCCGCCTTTCCCGCCATCGCCTTGGATCCCCCGAGAGGTGCACAGGTCATCGACGCCTGCGCGGCACCGGGCTCCAAGACTTCGCAGATGGCAGTGACTCGGTGAGATTTTCGTGGATTTTTTTGGGGATACCCGGCCTGGTAAGCATAGAAAAAGCTATTGAAAATGGCCATTGATAGTGGATTCACCCATTAAAAATGGTGATTTTCCCATAGTTATGTTGGTTTACCAGTGGGTAAATTGTAAGATTTGTCACAGACAAATCTTGATAATTGTCAATGATGTTCCACACTGGTGATAGTCGGCTCCTGTGTGATTCTGATTGACTTCAATGATTTCTTTCGGAGTTCCTTGCCTGTCACGCATTTTGTGACCACCATTCACAGTGATGTCATTATTGTATATTGTTGTCATTTCAGACTTGGATACTTTATGATGAATGATGAACATGTATATCATATGTATCATATGTATATCAATATGGGATCCTTTCTCGATCCATCGAGGTTGTCATTGGATCCCATGGGATCCAGTCGGATTGAGGCCATGATGTGCAACGAAGGGCAGATCTTCGCCTTCGACCGGGACGGCCGGCGCTTGAAGACCATGATGACTTTGATGCAACAGCGACACGTCACCTGTGTGGAGCCTGCTGAGAAGGCAGAATGACCTAAGGCTGACCTAAGGGATCCTAAGAGTGTACTGACCTACTGGATGTTGATGTTGGACATGTTGTTGGTGTTAATTCATATATGGTTTCGTTTCTTTGATTGACACTATTTGCATTAGTTGGCGGAAACGGCTTCGATTAGAGCCATGTGGAAAGCTAAGCAACATATCGATTTGCAATGCCATGCGCGTGAAGTGTGCTTAACATTGCTTAACCATGTTAAACTGTTTAACCCAATCGTAATTGTACTAACCGGCTGGCGTTACTTGACAGTGGTGGGCTACGGCGGCTGTAACTCATGCTAGGGGAATTTCTGCCAGTTGCATTGGATCTTGAAGATAGCAAGCATATCCAGGACTTCCTCAAGATATCTTTCAAGGACGCCAAGTACCGGAATGTGACCCACTTTTTGCTGGATCCCAGTTGCTCTTCTTCTGGCATGACTGCGCAGCCGCTCACAAAGCCAGCAGAAATGCAGCAGTTGGCGAAGAATCAGAAGGAGATAAATAACTAACGGTTACACACGGCAACCACCGGTTGTTGTTTAAATGACAGGCACTTACTTCTGATGTCACACACTGGCCGCAACGACCTTTATTATCAAATCTTTCACGTTGTGGGCCCGCGGTGACTCAATGTATCTCAAACATTTATCCTCTTCTTTTATATTGAACACTATTAATCTATTGAACTCCTTGTCAACGGTGACAACGGTTAAAATAATGGTGGACCATTAGTGGACCATTTCTACCATTTCTTGATCTTCGTACAGGGACTGTGTCACTTGAGGGCTTGAAAGTTTGACATGTGTGCACGCGGCACTTTCCAGGAGGTGATTCTTCATGCAATGCGCTTTCCTTCATGTCAGCGCATTGCCTATTCGACCTGCTCGGTTCACGAACAGGAGAATGAAGAGGTTGTGCAAGATGTGCCTCAGCAGAAGCCAAGCTTGGACTTTTCCAGCTGCTTTGACAGCGGTAGTTGTATCAGTGTTGTATCAGTTAGGTATAGTTAGGTTAATTACTCGTCTCTGTGAGTCTGCAGAGCTGCCATTCAGGTGTTGTCCACCAAGACCGGTGAGGATTTTGAACTGGAAGAGGCATTGCCATGGCTTTCACCTCAGTAGAGCGAACAACATCCATCCTGTTCCTGTTCCGTCCGGCTGGCAAAGATTTTCCGACGTCGCTCCGATATTCTTCGGACAAAAAGAATCATCCAGAAATATCCAGAAGAGATTGTTGTCATTTGATATGAGAGAACTCATAACCATAAAACATCATAAAGCATCGATAAAGATAAAGAGAAATACACATCAACAAGCATCAACAAACATCAACAAACATCAACAAACATCAGCAAACATCAGCAAACATCAACAAACATGATCAAAACCATGATCAATATCAAAATCATCAAGAAACGGCTGGAACTTCGACACCAAGGTGGCCCAGGCGAGGACATCCACTCTTTGCAGGGGCTGAGCGCTGTGTGCGCAGCAGCTGGGAGGATCAGACCATCGGTTTCTTCTGTGCTCTCTTTGTGAAAAACGAAATCCTCATCCTTTCGTCCTCCTGGGCTAGAAATCGACAGGTTTGCCGATAGATTCATCGATTGATGTTTGATGATGATGGATGATGTTGGATGATCTTGGGTGGATTCAATTTGTTTTGTATCTTTTTGTGTTTTTCTTGGGCGGTTCGCTGCATCAACAGGCTAGACATGGCTAGACCACGTTGTGGTCGTCTCCAGTGCAGATATTCCTGGTTGCATTCTGGGCCCCTGCACATGCTCTTATACAGCTTGCAATTTTGGTTCAGGCAGTAGCGGAACGATGATCATGGAAAGTCTCCTTAACGGACGCATTTTTGGTAATCCACTTCACCTGCACAACATTCAGCCCGATGGACCTGATCCCTACCTGACCCCTACCCCAACCTGATCCAAATTGTACAGCTAGCATTGGTCACCCCAGCCCCGAGCCAGCAGAAAATGAACATGTAGTTCCCAGCGGACCAATTTCCAGCTAAAGCTTGCCATTTCATTGGAGCCATCGAATGTTCCAATGAAAGTTCCTTGCACCGCTCCGAAATAGGTGCCATTGGTTCCAGCCTCAGTCTTGATCGGATTTGACTCGGATTTGACGGGAACGAATCAGCAATCAGTTGATGATCAGTGATGAGACCATTGACCTCCAAGGTTCGCGAAGGAGAATGGTTTCTGGCCGACTTCGCAGTGGCTCTCGCCTTGACCTCAGGATGCCCAGCCCAGGGAAAGTTTTTGAGCAGTTCATCAACCCACATCCCGCGGTGATCCATGTGCCCAGGCCGTGACCGTCGAGATCGAGATCCTCGAGATCGGGGAGAAGACCGAGACCGCCGAAACGGCCGCGACCTCCGCGACGGCCGCGACCGCCGTTCGCGCGAGCGCCCTGCGCGGGAGCGCGACCCGCGCGACCGGGGGAACCGCGGTCAGTGGCACTCAGAGACCATGAGACACCGATAGACACCGCGTCATCTGGGTACAAATGAGGGATGCCCAAAATCAAAACACCTTTGAAAATACCTGGTTCAAAAAGCATGTGCTGAAGCAATGGAAAACCGGGAAAAAGTGATCATGATTTTCTTCAGTTTTTGGAGATGGATTTGGAAGCTTGCAGGGACAAAGGTCAAGGGTCCCTGGTCAGCTACTTCAATGTCCCCAAAAAAAGCCCACACACTGAGGTCGGTCCAAGCCTGGTCGAAGCAGGGACCGCCGAAATGGGGACCGAAGGTGCGGCCAGGGCCAAATGTGGCAGCTCTGGACAAAATGTGGACAAGATGTGACAATAACGTGACAATAACATGTGAAATGATGTGACAAGGTGAAATGTGCTTCACCTTAGAACCTGTCATCGTTTTTTTTTGCATCGTTTTGCACCTTGCAGCTGGCAGCTGGTGCCATTTTTGAGGCAAAGAAGTTCGGAAGGCGCGGTGAAAATCTGATGAACATCTCATGAACATCGTTTATGAATCCAGACGAAGACGTTCCAAGATGTTCCAAGGACACGCGCTTGGAGGATGAAAAGTGAAACCATGTGTGATCTCAGGCGCCGCGCGCAAGAGACGCGAGCGAAGCGAGCGAAGCGACAAGAATCACCGCAGCCAAGGACCCACCTTTTCGAGATCTCATGGATTACATCTTTCATCACGAGGATGCCATGATGCCACAAATGGCCACTTGCTCCTAAATGTTCTCAAAATACGGAACTTGTAAACGACAGTTTTCGAAACATTCTGAAACTACATCCATTCATCCATTCATCCATTCATCCATTCATCCATCATCCAAGCTGCACAGGACGAGATCGCAGTCCTGTGACCTTCAAAGGTCTCCTGGAGGCGAAGCGCGCCCGGAGAGCCGCGGAAACGGTTGGGCGCCCGGACGGTCAGACGTTTGGCTCGGCGAAGTTGTGAGCCATGGGCCATGACCGAAGATGGGGAAAAAATGGAAGAACTATGAAGTTAGTCCAATGGATCGACGAGGAGGATGATGATGATGATGATGATGATGATGATGATGATGATGATGATGATCTAAGATAGTCCAATGGCATGAATGAAGCCGCGGAGGGGGACAACATAGGAATGCACTGGAGGTACTGGAGGCAGATCGTCAAGTGTTTACTTTTCCCCTGTTTTTTTTTGGTCCAAGGCGAGCGATTCACCATCGCAGAAGAGAGAAAGAAAAAACAAGAAAAAGAGGACAAACATGGACAAGTGATGAGAACTGGGACATACTATGCCAATCTATGCCATATACCTGGCATGTTGTCAGCCAGCGATAGCCAGCGTCGCCTGTGTGTTGCTCGGGTGACTGTAGCTTTGCTAGGAGAAGAAAAGAGGACAAGACGGAGACGGAAGAGAAGCCAGCGGAAGATGCTGAAACTGACGAGGCTGACAAGGCTGAGAAGGAAAGCGACCAGGGACATCCTGAGACGGACGTGGAAGACAAGGACGCCGAGAAAGATGACGAAGAGAAGGACGATGATACCGAGAAGGAAGAAAAGGAGAGAGACGAAGATGATGATGAAGAAAACGATGAAGAGGTGCAAGAGCTACCAGGGACATTATATGTCGGAAAGTTACAGAAGTTCTTTCCGAGAAACTTCAGTAACTGACACTTGACATTTGCATAGATCTGTGGTATGTGTACATTCTCACTGTGGCCACACCAATGTGCTACACAGGGGAACGGCGAGAATGCCGAAGACCACGGCAAAGCACTGGACGAACATCTGGACGCCAACGAGCTCGCCAGCTACTGGCAGCAGGAATCTGATGATATTTGGATGATGGATTCTCAGGGAAATCATGTGAAATAAAGAATCTGAACATGTCTGAACCAAAATCATGCTGCAAATCCAATGGAAACCGAATCTGATGAAATTTGGACATGCTGCAACCTTCTGAAACGATTTGCAACCCTGGTGTGACATCATTCACTTCACTCGTCACGTGACACGTGACTGCGATGGCCTTGGGCAGGAGAACCAAGAAGAAGAGGCCAAGACAGACGTTGTCTCCGAGGCTTTTCGGACGGAGTTTTTTTTTTTTTTGAAAGGTTTCCGTCAGCTTGTGTCAGTTTGTGTCAGCTTGTGTCAGCTTGTGTCCGTGGCATTCCCTAGATTTCTTCGGAACTGATATGAATCCAGGCTGAGGAGGCTCCTGCACTGGCAGCCCGACCCAAGGTGCATGGTCGATGACGGCGAACTTTTCACTGGAAATGAATGAACTTGGATGAACATTGCAGTCATAAATAAATATAGATAATTCATATTATATATATGATTAACACATAAATTAACACATATTAACATGAGGTTCTTCATGAGGTTCTTCATGAGTCTTCCAAGTTCCCATGGTTGCCGACTGCAGTTTTTGCCAGGCTCGGCCACGGCAGGTAAGAAACTCAGTGCCTGCCCTGCCCTAACTGCAGTCAGTCACGGCAATTTCACATCTCTGAGGCGGATGCTGTGTGCAACGCCAAGGTGGGGAGATGATGGAAGATGTAGAAAGTGGATGAAACATGATGGAAACATGTTGGAAACATGATGGAAACATTAGTTAGTTTGGAATGTGGATGAGCTTTCCCAGGTTGAAAGATGTTGAAGGTACCTGGAACAATTTGAATTCATTGATTTTAAAGCAGCTCTCTGATTTTTTCAGTGGGTCAGGCAACGGCGCGACAGAGGAGACAGTCTACCAATATCTTTTTTTCTTGTTGCGTGGGTGTTTTGTTTTTAATTGAAGACAAAATTTGATGTACTGAGCCTGTTATGCTGACCATATCTGACCATGCTGATCCTGAAGCCATCTGAAGCCATCTGAAGCCATTCCAAGGAGTGAGGGGAAGAACAGCTCGGTGCCCGCGGCCTCTGCGGCCTCTGCGGCCTCCGCGGCCTCCAGCGACGAGCAGCCGCCCCAGCAATGGAGCGTCGGGGTGCAACGGGGAGAGGAGATAGAGCGCACGGCCCCAAGGCCTGAGACCGCACCGAAAGCGAAAGGACCGAGCGGCCCATAGAGAACCTGTGGAGTACGTGTGGAGATGTGATCTTTTTTAAGCTCATTCTTATCATGTTTTTGTCATGTTTTGACATTCTTAAAGAAAATGAGGCATGGAAGTACAAGGAAGAATGTGTCATAGCAAGTTAGTTAGAGCCAAACTATCCACCTAATGGGAAGCAGCAGAGATCTTGTTTTGTTCTGGCAGTTTTATTCGCAACCATTTCTGGTTTCGCTGAAGTTGCCATGCTGCATCACAAGGACATGAACGTGTCCGTGTCAAGCGTTTCTTGGCCAAAGCTGCTGCGTCCAGTAGTGCATCAGCGTGCAGTGCAGCAGCACCAGCATCCCAGTTGTGGAAACTGGTGGCGATTGTCTAAGGAAAGCGGAGAAGAAGGTGCTGTGGGAATCACCCCATTGGGAAGTCATAGCAGCAGTGGCACTCTTCCACCCACCCGAAACGCATCGCCAGGAAGAGACGGGAGGATGAGAAGAACAAAACCGACGAGGCCATCCTGGCAGACCCACAGCTGAACGGTGGCATGTCTCACATTGTCCCACCTGGCAGGACAAGAAGCCGGAGCTCGCTGCCGGAGCTTCAGAGCTTCAGAGCTTCACGGTCCACAGCAGGATGATAACTGGTGTCATTGCCTTGCTAAGGTGACATTGCCTTCGGTTGCAGAGGTGTGTTTCCATTCCAATGTTTCCATCAAGACGAAACTCCAACCCTTGCGGAGGATTTTCCTCATCAAAATGTCTGTATGTATATATATATATATTGCCCATATATTTATATTTTTTTATATGCATTTAAATTCACATTTTTGACATAGATTAGAGGATTAGAGAGATGTTCCACCCAGAGCCAGGCAGAGAACACCCGGATGGCGGAGGCGGAGCACACTGAGCAGACGGAGTCAGCCCCGGAGGCGCCAGCTTCGAAAGCTTCGATAGCTTCGGTTCAATCCACGCCATGGGGATTCCATGATTCCAAAATGTCAAAATGTCGCAGCACCGAAGGTAAACATAGGTAAACTGTAAAGCCCAGCACATAGGTGTCATTCTGGAGATTTCTGGAGACTCTTGTGAATCTTGTAACATTTAAATATTTTCGGTTACATTGCCCGCCGTTTTTCGAGATCCAGCCCTCGGACATGTAATGGATGCCTTGGAGATCCTTGAAGCTATCTTCGTTCAGGATGCTGATGCTGATGACAACGAGAAGGAAGGCCAGCGGCCTTTGGGCATTGATCTTGGCTTGCCAAAGGGTCGATGTTGGCATGGCCCAAACTATTATTCACCCCGCTTCGCGTGGGGTGGCCGCCCACACCGCAGGTTTATTTCGGTCCGTGAGAGGGGCTAAGGGTGGTTTTCCCGTGGGGGCTCCCCAAGCTAAGAATTTTAACTTTCCCCCCCCGTGGGGGCTCCCCAAGCTAGGGAATTTTCACTTTTCCCCCCCGTGGGGGCTCCCCAAGCTAGGGAATTTTCACTTTCCCCCCCGTGGGGGCTCCCCAAGCTAGGGAATTTTCACTTTTCCCCCCCGTGGGGGCTCCCCAAGCTAGGGAATTTTCACTTTTCCCCCCCGTGGGGGCTCCCCAAGCTAGGGAATTTTCACTTTTCCCCCCCCTGGGGGCTCCCCAAGCTAGGGAATTTTCACTTTTCCCCCCCGTGGGGGCTTCCCAAGCTAGGGAATTTTCACTTTTCCCCGCCGTGACAGCTTCCCAAGCTATGGAATTTTCACTTTTCCCTCCCTTGGAGGCTCTCCAAGCTGCGGAATTTCAAATAGCTAGACAACGACGCCTAGATAGTCCCCCAAATCCCGTGTTCTTTGAATGGTTTCCATGTTTTTGCAATGGTTTCCTTCAAAGCACGGTACTTTACACTTTTGTCGCCATAAAACCGGTCGAAAACATCATGTTCGACAATGCTTCCAATTCCCTTATCTCCCCAACCGTTGAAAATACCGCTATTTACAGTGTTTTCTTCAATTTTTCCATGTTCCAATGCCGGTAGCCAACTCCAACATATATATAAGAAATCCTTCCAAAACATTGTTTTTGACAGTGTTTTTCCAATGTTTCCAGTCAAACAGATGGTAATTTACACGTTTTGTGCCATAAAGGCAGTAAATCCTTCCAAGACATTGCTTTTGACAGTGTTTTTGTAATGTTTCCAGTCAAGCATACGGTAATTTACACGTTTTTTGCTATCACGTCAGTCCAAAACACTTGTTTTTGCAGTGTTTTCAATGCTCTGGCATCCAAAAACCCTGCAAAATCTTGCTATGTACAATGTTTTTTTTCATTTTTGGCCGTTTTTCCATTGCCGGAAAGCTACCAAAATGACCCAAAATTCCATTTCAATACCCTCTTGCGCTCAGACACCCAAAAATCCTCGAAAAATGTCGAAAACACCACCGTATTCTGGTCTCGGTGCGAAACCGTTTTTGGCCCCCCCCCCCAGCTAAAGCTGATATAGCGACTGCTATATTAACAAATGTCATTGAGCATTTAGTGTTGCTGTTTTGCCCCCCAATAAGCACGCCTTCACCGCCAAAGCGGTGTGGGCGGATTTTAGTACATTTTACATTTTACACATTGAACACATTGAGAGCATAACATAGCATAGCTGATCTTGAGCCATCGTAGCCATATTTCATATTTCATGAGCCAAGATGGGCAGGTACCAGTGAGAAGGCTGACAGCGATGGACATGGAGAGGCCAAGGATGTTGGCAGAGCTGCGCTCTGCCACCAATTTATCCACTTTATATCAAGTGTTTCATAAGGTTCAAATCCGATCAAGATCATCAAGATCTGCTGGAAGGTTTGAAAGTCTGAACTTTTGTTGAAATTTCCCTGGGATGACAGTTGAAGTCTCTTTGGAAGACCTAAATTGATCTAGTTTGTAGATGTTTGTAGGATTTCTCATGTGGAAAGCATCAGGCTGAAGAGAGAGAGCTAAGCATGCGCGTGGCTGCAGAAGCGAATGCCAGCATCCCAGGATGCAAAGACATATAGCTGGAAGAGTGCCGAGCTTCAACAGACCCTGCCGCCCTGCCCATCCTGCCCATGCTGCCCTTGCTGCCCATCCTGCCCCACCTAGGCCTTGATCCGGGAGGTCTACCAGCGTCAGAATCCGGCGAAACTCGGTGAGGTGAACGCTTTGCTGGCGAAATATGCTGGAGCAGAGTTCCTCGGATGTTGGAGCACCGTGATGCCCCTCTGTGCCAGATTGTTAGATCGTTCATTTGGCCGCACGTCTGACCAAAAGCCAATTCTATTGAAAAATGTTGCGTATCACTCCTACACATCTATCATCACCTATCATCATCTATGCAGTTTGTGCGAACGGTGAACGGTTTTCTTTGCCAAATGTTTGCACCTCAGGCTTGCCTTGTACGAACGCGTCTGCGAGAAGTATGGGGACTGGGGCTCAGCTGAAAGCAATGCATCTCCGGTGTATTCCGGTTCCGGGGTTTGTGTTTTTTATTTGGTGCCAAAAATGAAGCGATCAATGATTAATGTCGTTGATTGTCGTTGACTGCGTTGACCAGTCGAAAAGCCGCCAGGAAGAGCCTCAGGACATCGAAGTGATCCTTCAAAAGGCCGCTGCTGAAGTTGCCATGCGAAGGGGCTCGATGGGCTCCGGCGTCTGCTCCCCAGATCTCTCCAGATCTCCCAAGAGCACCAAGATGCACCAAGTCAAAGTCAGAGATGCCCCCATTCTGTGCCCATTCTGAGCCCATGAGGATGCTGAATCCGAGAAGGCACCACCTACACTGGCGGCCACCACCTCAAAACATACTGAAATCATCTGAAATCAGATAGAATTATATCATTATATCGTATTCAATGATCTTCAATTCTCATTGAAATTCTCAGTCAAGGGCTCTCAGTAAATAGTTCTCTCCATACCCAAAAGATTAACCAAACTTAAACTTAGTTTGTGTATGTTTGTGTCATGAATAAACATAGCAATTTTATCAGCTTTTTTGTGGTAAAGCCAAAGCTGTACGCTAAGTCACCAAGGCCCGAGCCAAAGGAGCCTCCAAGCCGCAACGGGCACCTCTAATGGCGTTGCAACCCGGAGTTGCAGCAGCTTGGCGAAGCAAAAAAGACATCTGGCAACGTTGGATGCCGTTGTCAACACGTTGTCAACACGTTGGATCCATGGTATTTTTCCATGGTTCATGGATTTTTCATGGATTTTTAACTATTCTAAACTTGAAATCTCAAGTTTTCAAAGCATCCACGACTTGTCGTTTTTCCATCATTTGCGAATAAAATCTCATTCAGACATGACATATATATATATAATATGTTAAAGGGAACGAGGTAGTTATGCATGTGTAACATGTATCATCTACAATCTGACAATTACCGCCATACATTGGCTCAAGCGTATGGAGAAAAGGGCTGCATCGCGTGACTCTGCATGGTAATCATCGGCTACCGGTAACAAGGGTACTACCTGATCGAGATAACATCCGGAACAAGGATCAAATTGTTCACAGGTTATCAGCCGTAAGGGCTCACTTCTTCCGTCGGAAGAGGAGTACCTGCGTGCTGGTAGCCGGACCGTCTGAGCTCAAGATTGTGGACGCAAAGGACCAATCAGCTCATCATCGCAAAGATGCAGGGGCAGCGGAGACTCGCGCAACACGCAGTTTACCTTCAATGAGAACACTGCTATGCCGGTCGAGGAGGTCACTCAATCTTCCCCTGGCGACACGGCAGACAGTGGTGGGATACGCTCTACCCGAACTACACAGTCCGGATGGCAAGTTACATCAAACAGACGAAGAATATCCACCCAAAGTACACCAAGATCTTCTCGAAACAGTGCTCGAAGTGATGTTGTCCGTCAAGGGCATCGAACATCTCGAGGACGAACTACCCCAAGGGACAGATCCACCAGGGCCGGAACCGACCGAATTGGTGAGAGGACCGGGGACACTCGTGTTAAGAGGAGATCAACGGATACTTCTGTGGCTAGTGAACCTATTGCCATGATAGAAGAACTACGGACACAATGTCAATCCCTACGTAATCAGTTGAACAACATGGAAGCATATGCTGCATCAAGAGACCAACTGATTCATGACATCGAGATCAGATTCACTGAATATCTTCAGGAACACAACCAGAATGTGTTTGATGAGGTCAATGCACTCAATCATAGATTGTCATGTTCCGCAAATGAGGTTGCAGAGTATCAAGCAGAACTAATGGTAGCATCTCAGGAAGACGAAGGTGCAACAATACGCATCCAAGACCTTGAACGCCGAGGTGCCCTGATGGAACACGGTGCAAGACAGATTCATCAACGTGGTATGGAGATCCAGGAAGAGTACAAGGATGAAGTACATCACCTTCAAGGACTATTGGGTAATACGGAGGCAAGACTGCAACAACTTCATCAGACCAATGTCTTAACTACCGATATTGCCAACAGATTGTACACTGAAGGTCAAGAAATGCAGACGGATTTCCAGAACTCAATCATGGAATATCGTAATCGATCCGAAATGGCATCCTTCTCAAGCAATCAACTTGAATTGATTAGCCAACAACAATCAGTTGCAGTTCATGAATTGTCTGAACGGAATCAGCTATTGAGTGAAGCTCTAGTTCAATCTCGTAAACAGGCCGAATTGTATGAAAGCAGTATTGAAGAGATCACTAGAGAATCTAGAAAGAAGGTTTTCGAGGCAAATCAGGCCAAATTGGAAAGTGATCTGAAGCACCGAAACACTGAACATGATACTGTCAGAAGAATTGCATCATACAGGAACCATGAGGCCGAAGCGATATCACACCTGAGGCTTGAATCACAAGCTAGTGCAAATTCGATCGCAAGGGCAGAACACTATGAAGAGCTCTACGCCAACGAGCAGGAGATGAACTGTGAGTTGAAGGATGAGATCAAAAAGCAGAACGTGAAGTTGCGAAGATCATTAACTCAGGGCACTACGACCGACGGTCGTGGCCCTGATGAGATGCTTGTTGAAGATCTACGAAACCAAGCCAAGATAGCTCAAATCAGGGTTCAGGATCTTGACCATGAAGTTCATGAATGTTTACAGGAGAACATGTTGTTAAAAGAGAGATTGACTGAAGTTGCGGATGTAGGGGCGTCGTCCTTCTCCAATGCTGAAGTCCGAACTTTAAGATCTGAGCTAGAAAGTGAGCGCAAAATGAAATTGGCTAGTGGTGTTCAACAATATGAGAGATCATGCATGTTCATGGGGGAAATTCAGGATAGGGATGAAAAGATTGGTATCAAGAATTCTGAGATTATTGACATGAAACGTCACTTAGATGAACTGAGAAAGAGTCTCAAGGATTCTGAAACATCTATGTCCAGGGTTAGCCCTGATACACTTCCCTATTCGGCAGGTATCCCCAACTATGATCTCGCATCAAGACTGGTCATCGACAAACTGGAGAATGAGGTGAGTGAGGCTAACTCTGAGAACGCTATCCTGAAATCTTGGGTATCACAGATCGACAAGGAGTTGACCTACGAGACAAATGCTGCCCAATCTTACCGCGGACATGCTGGATCTTCTCAACAGCAACCTTCTCAATCGAACAAAAGAATCACCGATCTGCTGAAAGAAGTTGACAACAAGATCGCCGATGGAACTGAGAAGGACTATTACAAGCCTCCGAGCGGATGGGGCGGTCCGCCTGACCCTGATGGGCCTCCTGACCCTTTCGGGCCCAACGGTCCAGGACCACCTCCAGAACCTCCTGGTTTGCCTTCAGTTCGAGGATCACAACGCGATTCAGCAGATGATATCTCCACAGCGGCGTGCACGGCAGAAGAAGTACCGAGAATGTCAAGACGGGAGGCTGACAAAGTCTACGTTAGCCCATGGCCGAAGCAACAGAACCTTGGAGTTTGGCAATCAGATCTCATCAAGGGTGTTGTTCTTGCCGCTAATGATGGAGACAAAGCTGCGTGGGAAGCATGGCTACAGCCGGCTATAAGACCAAATCCTGACATTGAGCTGCTGAATGACAGCGGTGGGCAACGATATCAGTCAATCGACGCCAAGTTGTCAATCGCATTGTCGAACGTGATAGCGCAAGCCGGTGATGTTGCTCGTCATGTAGCAATCAAACTGAGGTTGAGAACACAGAGTCATAGTCGAAGAGGAACCTACGTTATGGGACGAGAAATTTTGGCTATGATTCTGGAACACTTCAGAACACCAGGTCAACGAGAGACAGCCTTCACCATGGAGCACATCGTATCGATGAAGTATCTCGGTGACTCCAACCTGGAAGTGTTCTACGAGAAGTGGATGGAGATGGTATCAAACATGATGCCGGATGATGTACCTCCTGACGATTGGCTTCGTGACGCTCTATACAAGAAGATTCGAAATTCGAGTCTCATGATGTTCGACATTAAGCAGTACGAATCATGGATTGAAGGAGATCAAAGACGAAGCTATCGCTACCTGTTGGACGTTATCGAAAGGCACATCTCTAGAATCAGAGAAGACAAGCATGTGGCCGCTAGAGAGAAGTACGCAAGAGACTTTGCAGGTGGTGGCAAGCCCACTGCTCCTGCACCAAATCCAACTGCTGCTGCACCAGATGCCAATCCGAAAGCGAAGCCTAAAGCCACTCCCAAGGAGAAGGCAGCACCTAAGGCGAAGGCCAAGGCTGACGCAGCTCCAGTTCTACCATCACCTCAGCCGAAACAGCATGCAAAAGGAAAAGGGAAAGGTCAAGGGAAAGGAAATGGACGACCAAACAGCCGAAGCGCCAGTCCTAGATCCAAGAAGAAGATCCCATGTCATTTCCACTTCATCAAGAAAGCATGCAGAAAAGGCAAAGGATTGTGAATACAGTCACGACCAAAAGGTGTTTGATGCGAACAAGAACACGAAAGGTAATGGTCGAAAACCAGGAACTCCGAGAAGTCAATCTCCAGCGAACAAGACCAAAAAGATTGATGAACCATGCTGGCACTGGGCCAAGGGCAAGTGTCGATACGGAGACAAATGCAACAAACGTCACGATCCTCATCTCTTCAACACTGCTCCGAACACCGAAGCACCAAGCCCAAAGGCTACTCCTGCACTTGTCCATGAATGGAGTGATGACGAAGGGACATTCCACAAGGTTGCATCGAATGTCGTCAAGAAGAAGGTCAGATTCGATGAATCCAAGACTTGCATCCAAACGTACGTGAAGAAGGACTTCGTGAAGTGCAGCCGGAAATCCCAGACCATCCCCAAAGGTCATGGTAAAGTTGGTAAGCCCACCGATCAGATAAGGCAAGATGAGCAATGGTCTTATTCATGCAGACTAGCATCAAGCCGAGGGAAGGCAATGGCTATCCTGATCGATGAGAAGGGTGAGTACAGTGACATTGATGAAGTCCTAGTCATCGTCGGCCCCAGTCTGGACATTCTGATCAGATTCGACATCGAGGACGGTGAGGTATCCAGGGAGGTCTTCGTGGAGAACTATGTTCAGCATATCGAGGGTCGATATGGTAAAAGGGGCAACACAATGTGTATCACTGTTCCTGTTGAAGAAAGAGATAAGAGATTCATATTGGATTCTGGAAGTGGTCATGATCTTATCTCATCCACACGAATAAGTAGAATGGATCTCCCAACATATGATGATAAAGTCGTTAACTTCCATACAGCAAACGGAGTAACATGTTCGACCAAACGATCGAGTATCAAGTTCGAGGCATTCAACGAACCAGCAGAAGCTCACATTCTGGAAGACACGCCTTCCGTGATCTCCATGGGCAAGCGGTGCGTTGACCTTGGCTATTCATTCG